TATATATATATATATATATATATATATATATATATGTGTGTGTGTGCTTGTTTTTTAAATGAAAGTATTTTCAGTTAAGAATTATTAAGCATGTGAAATGGTTTCCCAAATGATTTAGTATATATTGCAAAATTAAAATCTTTTGAAAGTTTGTTTGATAGAAACACAGATATGAAAGGCTATATTTACTAAGGTTAATCACACTTGATATGAATAATGTTCTGTGTCTTGTTGACCATGTTTAATCTGGTAGCTATGTTTACACACTTTTATCTGATATAGCAGTTTTCATTATAACAAGGGAGTACAAAATCAATCTTCACCAGATACCTTAAGAACATTTACAGAGACCCTCCAATGCACGTGGCTTCCAAAACATTGATAAAATAAATCACAAAGTTCCGTTATAACTGTATCATAAGACTTGAAAGATATGTGGCTAAATGGGAGCCTGTATTTGCAGTTTCTTCAGCCATTTGTCTCATGAAAATATTTATCGATTTGAAGGTGTGGTTGAATGCTTGTGAATGTTTGCTTTCTGAGCCTTTGTGAACTTCAAATTCTTGTTTATTATCATGTTAATACTACCAGGATATATATGTAGCTTCATTGCAGTGATTTTGTAGGTCAGAGGATTTTATTTTGTAACTATAGCCTTCACTTTGTAGATAAGGAAGTTCATTCAGATTTGTTTATAATATGATTTGGAACCAATTCTATCCTATTCACTTAGCTATGCATGGTTTTTTGTTTTTGCTTCTAAGGAAAACATTGAAGGCTTCTTCTTTCAAAATGTTATATGGAAATTCCTCCATAGAAAGAATGCTAACATAATCCTTCAGCCATAAGTCAACCTTTGATATCATCACACACACAAGCAAAGGTACCCACCTCCCCAGTGACGGGAAAAGTTTAAGTTAATCTATGAATTTAAATTATTTCATGGACTTTAAAAGGGTTGATTGTGTTACACTCTTGCTATCACTCAGAGGCAAAGCTCTGAGCTACTTATACTGCCCACAGCAAAAAATAATTGTGGAGCATTTCAGTTTGCTAAGAGCTGCTCAACAATACAGTAAATCTACATTTTTATTCTTTAAGTTACATCACATTTTGAAATGTGAATGATAGTGTGATTAATTCCTAATAATTTAGTATAGAATATTCTGCTTGTGAAATGTAGTTTGGCATCAACATTATACATGCCTCTTCCCCTGTCATTTCAAAAGAGTGAATGTTGAGCTTTGCTTGCATGTGCAGCTTTTCAAGTGGGAGACAGACTCGCATATCCAATCCTTACCTCCTACAAAATCCTTAGGGAATATCTGGTCCAAGAGACTTATAATTTTTTAAACTTCATGATTTGTTCTTAACCCTGCATTACTCTTTTGTAAAAAAATTTCCATAGTCACTCTTTCCGGGGTCTAAGCAGACCCCATCATAAAAACATTAATTTTAAAATATGTAAATAATAATAAACTATTATCTTTTAACAAAAAAACATTAACAACTAAAATATTTTCCTTTATTAATCAATAAATGAACATTGAATATTACAACTTGTTTCTTTTTTTACCACCTAAGCCAAGTTTAAGAATTTAACACAAACTAGCCAAATACTGAAGCTACTGAAAACAACAAACATATGTGTGCTTCCATCTGCCAGCTCCAATGTTTACAAAATATTTGTGTTCTGTGACGGCCCTGCAAGACTAATGCATGGTTAACAAGCTCATAATTAATATGATAATTGTGTTTGATTGTCCTTACATCTAGCAACTGCTCAGAATAAGAAACATTGTTTAAATCTTCATTAGCCTAAACTGAAAAAAAAAGATGAATTTATTAACCTAGTCATCTCGTACTTCAGAAGTGAGTCTTCGTTTAACATCCCTCAAAGGCCCTACTCCCATCCTAGCATTTTGCTTACCCTTGATGTATATAAAGAACTCTTTGCTGTTAATTTTTATATTTTCAGCTAGCCTTTTTCATGTACTCTTTTTGCTTACTTAATATCCAGATTAACCTACTCCTTTGATCTTCTATAATCCTTGAAGTCTTTCATCATAGTAGTCAGTCTAAACTTCTTAACTTTATAATGGTTTTCTTTAATTTTGCCCCTTATACTTTTTTGTGAGCCAACCTAATGTTTTATTGGCACCCATCCCTTTTTTTTTGTCTATGAAGAACATGTCTATCTTAAATGTTACAAGATTTTTGTTCCTTTTCTTTCTGAAATATGTTTTCCAAGCCCCAAAACTCCAATTCTAAATTTGTGGGAAATGGGAGTATTTTTTGCCAGCTTCACACGTCCTTAAAGTAAAAATGAGCTATTTTTTCAACACTGACTCCTTGGAATTTTGAATAAAGTGTATCCACTGAAAAGCTACCAAATGCCCAATCTTGTTTTATGTCTTTGCTTTCTGCAAATGTTGTGAATTAGTATATTTAAAATATTTATTTTAGAAATAAGTGAAACCATTTTCATGGAGATTATATGAATTGGATTGTTTTTTACTTTTCATAATTTAAAGTGTCAGAGGCTTTGATTCAGTTAGAGATTTTTTTCAGTATAAGTTGAACACTTGGTGAGAAGCATAGAAATTGCCATTTTTATCTTATATTTATCAATTTGAAAACTTGAAATAGATCTGTGTAGTATAAATGAAGAAAATAAAGTTATTTGATTATGTTTGCACTTTCATGTGTATTTCAGAACTTATGCTCTTAGAAGGATTAAGGATGCTTTCAGAGAAAACAAAGGTGAAAGTGATCCTGGAAAAATCAAAGACCTTATCATGTATGGAGTACACAATCTTGAAATTATTAAGAGACAGGCAAGTACACACTTCTTTCTTCATAAGAAAACTCATAAAAATACATTTCAACAACACTTCATCAAGAAAATTAATATTAACTATTGATCACAGCAAACTACATGCTAAAAATCAACCTAGTAATAAGTATATGTAATTAAATATACTGTTCTTAAGTTCTTGCTTATAAAGATTGGAGTGCTTTGTTTTGTCAGTTGGGTACCCTCACTGTTAGCTATATATTTGGCTGTATACTTAGTAATATCTCATGAGGTTTTAACAGCTCAGGAGTTTAGATTAGTTCTACTTATACAAAGCTAGCAATGCAAAAGAATCTCTGTAATAAAAAATATTTAAAGTAATAAAAATAGATACAGTTTCTTAAACTATTAAACATTCTAATTGATAACGTAAATGAAAGTAACTCTAAAGAAAGAGTAAAGTATACCTTGCTTATATTTGAGAATATCTTCATCTAATCTTCATGATTTTCTGTTTTTGTTGTTAACTTGTGTATGTATTGCAAAAATCCATCACTAAAGTTCAATTTGGTATTATTGATTCACTAGATGATGTTTTTTTTATTGCTGCTTTTATCCAGAATAAAGTACTATTTCTTAATTTTTGTTCAAATACATTGAAGAAATACATCTTTTGCATGATTCTTTTCCAAATTGAAACTGAATGTCACCAGTAAAGAAAATATTAAAAAAAAAAGCTAACTATGTTTGTACAAGAGATACATTCCTAATGACTGTTAGTTTGAAAAGCATAAGAAATCTTTGAATCAGGGCCTTCAGCATTTTAAAACTTTTATAAAAATAATAAATATTTGTCAAGATTTAATCATTTTTTCCATAAAACAAAATTTACAGAAAAGGATAATCTGTCTTTGTGTCTCCTCATCAGTTTTTTTTTTATCAAGATATATTTAATATATCAGCCTTCGTTATCTCATCAGTAAGTAAATTCTGTTTTTACTATTTTCATATCACGGTTTCCACTTTTTTTACTATTGACATAAACATGTAACCTTTTCCTATCATATTTGATATCTCAAATTAAAATTTTATAAAATCCTTTAAACTTAATTATAAAAAGTAATCACATTTTGTATTTTTATAAATTCTGAGGTCAAATATGTTTCTGGTAGGCTTTGTCATTATGTGGAAGTTGTCTTACCTATTTCTCTCATTTATTTATTTCAGAGAACCTTAAATTACTTTGAGGAAGATTTTTCAGTTAGATAATTTTTTTTTACACTTGAAAAATGAAATAACTTTCCCTAAAAATGTCTTAAGTTTTATTGAATTATTTCCTTTAATAATAAAATATTTTCTAGATATTAATATTACATATAATTTCTTTATAAATATTTCTAATGCAGCATGCACTATCATGTCTTAGTGACTCTGATGTCTAAATTTTCTGAATCACATTACCTAATTATTCAAAGAAATAAAGACCAAATCTATAATACTATCTTGCCTTTTGAGTTATTTCACTTACTGATTAGAAAAAACAATCTTTTACTCTCTTCATTAATGCTTGATACTTTGTTAAACATGTCTTTCAGCATCCCTAACATTAAAATTCCTCATTACCACAATTTTTATCAATTTTACATGCCTGATTACCCCTAACATTCTTGTTAAAATGAGTTGATAGTGTAGAATTTGTCAATAAGTAATCTTTTTCCTATATTATGAGAGATCAATCTTTCAACACATCAAAGCTACCAATACCAAAGAAGAAAAGATTACTCCAATTCCTGCTAATTTGGTATCATCAAAAAAGTTATGAATCTTTCTAGAATATTTGATAAAATTATTTAATAAGCCCATCTTTAGAATATAAATTTACTAAGAATTTCAAAAGTTTCCATTTTAATCTGTCATTAAGAACAACAGGTCAAGGATTTATCCCAGCAACTTGTGCATGTTCACCTGCCTAATTTCAATCATGAATCTTCTGTTTTCATAAAAAGAAAAACATATAGAGAGAGCAAAGGCATTTTTTTGTTAAAACCCAGTTCTTAGAAATGTATATGTTTGAAAATATTATGTGGATACAAATTATTCCTATAATGTGTTTACTTTGCTGAATGCAGTATCCTAATATGTCATAATCATCGTAAGAACTCCTGTAGATGTAACAATCAAAAAACACTATAAAGCACAGATTAATTAAAACTTCTGGAAAGAGAATGCTGTTTTTAAATTTTTAACTCCCTTAAAGGTGTATGTGCTGCCCCTGCCCCCTCCATTGGAGAGAACCTCCAGATTCCCTTCCGCATAGTTATACCACTGTAGCTGTAATAATTTCTTTGAAAATACTGATTATATGTTTTAGAACAAAACATTCAGACATTCCTCATTTCTGTATGTGTTACATTCAGAAGTAGTTTTTTTTCAGAAATACTACTCAGCTCTCCACAGAATAGATAGCCGCTACTTAAAAGTTTTGAACATTTGCCAAGCCTTTAAATGAAACTCCCATCCCTATACACAATAATAAGTACTGCACCAGTCTATAAGGCAATTAACATCAGACTGTACCCTTCCACCAACAGGAGGGTGACACATCCTCCTTATGCAGTACTTCTCTTGAACACTGTTTATACCAAGAGCTCATTCTTTTCTTCAGCACTGCTATGTTCAGTCATGCTAATTTTGCATTAAGAATTACAGAATTTTTGCACTTACTATTAAAACTTTTAGCTAACATTTAAATTATCATTCTTACTTTCATTATTGAGAAGAAATAGATACAAACTTTTAAAATTGATTTCAGTTATATACTACAACTTTCCATCAGATTTGTTTTGCAGATCTTGAATATCACTTCTCATATTCATGTTTATGAAATCTTTCAATGTCCAGCCTCTCTTCTGTAGGAGTTGTTTTATTTTCTTTGAACAGCAACATGATGATTGAAGTTACTCTGATGGTGAGCAGTACTACCACAAGTGTACATCATGTGGTTTATTCTATCCTACATTGTTTATCTTGGACTCAGGACTTACAGCCTCCTGCTTCTGTAACTCCTGCTGAGCCTGCCCAGTCTTTTATGATTTTGACCAGTTTTTCTCATAATCTGCCTTTGTTTCTGGTTCTTCTATCCCTTATGAAGATCAAGTAACATCCCCACTCTTATCTTTCACTGATCTGATAACTTGGATATGTGATATTTGTTTTTCATATTCTGCTGGTTCTCAGCCAAGCTTCTTGCATGCACCTAACCTCATGATATTTTTTTTCTTTCTCTTTTTTCCTGGGAATCTGAGGGTCATGGGTTTGAATCTCTGTCACCAAAAATGCTTGCCTTTATAGCTGTGGGAGCATTATAATGTGATGGTCAGTCCCACTATTTGTTTGTAAAAGAGTAGCCCAAGAGGTGGCAAAGGATGATTTTGACTAGCTGTCTTTCCTCTAATCAATCATTGCTCAATTAGGGATGGCTAGTGCAGATAATTTTTATGGGAATTCCTCAACCTTTTCACCCCTTTTTGATGTCCCCCCCTCCCTCTAAGAGGCCAGCCATCATGTGGTTTGGTGATCATTTGTTTTTAGAACCACCCCTCAGCTTGGGGCCTGTGGGAGCTTGGCTCTTTTGTTTTGTACGCCTGTGGACTCACTTTGCAGGAAACCCTTGAGTCACAAAGGTTTTCTCTCAAGAACTTACTTTGTCTAACAGTATTCATCTTCCTTCACCCTGCACAGGCTCGCATCTATTCATGGATCCCTTCCTAGCTGGGTGAGGTGTGGTTCTGGATATCTTCAGTTTTGATGTTTGGTCTCCTGTGGAGTGATGTTTCTCTATCAATACCCTTTCATTGTGAGCAGTTCAATAGGCCTGCTACCATCCTTTGTTACAACTGTCTGGGTATCCTGTTTTAATCTATTTTGACACTCCAATGTAATTTCTTGCATCATCTGACAGGGAGTTACTCATTCATGGTACATCTGCTTTCTGGTTTTTGAGCTCCACTTTCGTAGTCATCACAACAACACCTGAATTTACTGGCTGATCAGTTGTCTTACCAAGACTGCATTGTTCTGACAGAGTGGTCCTTACCTTTGGTGTATTTGTAGATTTGTTCCCACTTTGGGAGTCATTGATACATTTGTCCTCTACACTAAGCTTCCATTTTTTGTCACCATTCATCATGATGTTCCACACTATATTCACACGTGACTTTTGTCCAGTCTCTTCTTGGCCATCTACACTTGCCATTTATTATTGCAAGTGGATAATTTAATGATGTTGGTCCATTCATCACTCCCTTCCTCAGATCATCTAATTCTTCCTCATCTTTGGCTCATTCATATATTTGATTGCCAGTTATCATGCAGCTTTGTTGACAACCATCCATCTTTTTTTTTCTGATTATTATCCTTTTCTGTCTCTGGTTCTTGTGAACCTCTTCCATACCTTTCTAATCAGTTGTTCTTCTTGTCTGATTCTTGTTTTTTTTAACTGGGACCTCTGTTTGACTGTCAGTGCTTTTACATGCCCTCTATTCAACCCTTTGGCCAACTCTTCCCTGTATCATCTTTATTTTAGGACATATATACTTCTTCTTGCTGGTGGGAGACATCACTCTGATATTTTCTCTGTAGATGTCTACTGCACTCTTTATTACAGGGATAGGTTGATTTGATTCCCAGAATATCCTCCCTCCCCAAGACTTGGGTTGCTTGGAAGGATGATTGGATTATTTCTTCCAATCACTCTTCTTTCCCTTTCTTCTCTAAATGATTATTCAGGCCATTGTTTTTCTACTTTACCCTCTTTGGACTGTTTACTCTTATCTCGCTTGCACTGCTTTATTTTTTGCTGTGGGATTCCCCTTTTTTATGAATTATCTCATTCTACCTTGATCATTTGGGTTAGACAACTCATTTAGTTTGTCTGTTCTTTTGTGGGAAACAACACCTTTCATCTTTTTAATGTCACCTCCTATACAGTTCATCATCTAACGAGTTCTCTCACCTTTGGTCATTGACATCCACAAACAG